ATTCAACATGCATAATGCAATAAACATGTCGGAGGATAAAGAGTAACTGATATGAAACATTTTGAGATATTCAATTGCTGAGTTAGCCTGACTGAGTGGCAGGTGATATCAGTGCACAAGAAAAGACACACGCAATAGACTTTAAATGTCAGGAGAAATGAGGCTGGCACAGATAAGCATTACACAGGCATAACATATTCATTTTGTCCAAACGCATCCACTGACACACTCTACAATATGTTTCCACCTCTTTCTACCCTCCTGCTGTGTTGAAAATCTGGGTCTGCCTTTTGTGTTGCAGGATAAACTTGTCAATTGTTTTCTAAACTAAAAATTAAAAGTATAAAATAAAACAATTCATGTAAAAAAAAAACTACTGTCATTCATTAAAGACTTAAAAATATAAATTTGTTATTTATTATTGAACTCCTATAAGGGCTGGACAATTCAATACCTATAATAGATCAAATTTTTCCAGGTAAATTATTTTGATTACATACCCTACTGCATGTGGAATCATGTGACTCTGCTATATTAGGTTTTTATTTATATCTCTGCAGCCACTTTTGCAGCCAAACCTGACTTCTGGTCAAGTAGGATGCTGGGCCCATCCTTGAGCCTTACTTTGCACTACATTGACAATGATTGGAAGCTGCGCTGAGATGCACTGAGACGACATATTTTCCATTGCATTAAAATTATTATTTACATTAAAATATTTGTTTACAGAAGATGCAAAAAATGCACTGTATAAAATATTATTTTTACAGGATATACAAGAGTTCTTTTATTTAGAAGAGATACTGCTGATTTTCTACTTTTATTATAAAAAACATTCAAAATATTTTTTTTTCCAAAAGTGCAAGTTAAAAAACGTGACTTGCTTTTAGGCAATTTTTGTTTTAATTTCAGTTGTTTAACGTTGATGTTCAATAAATAATCATAAAAATAAACTAAAGACAAAAAAAATAATAATAATAATCATTCACTAATCGTAATCAAGTTAAAATGTTTAATTAATCAAGATTTAGATTTTAGGTCAAATACGCCCAGAACTACTACTTATTAGGGTTGCACGGTTTACCGGTACTATGGTAGTATTCCAATACTATGACTCCAAAATACTGGCAGTGCTGCTGTAGTTTTTAAACGGTAGTATCGTCATTAACGGTCTTTCTACAATACATAATGTTCCATGTGGAAAAGTCACTAAAATGTTCACACGTGCAACAATAATAAACCATTTTATTTTAATAGTCTGTGGAGCCCATAAGGTTGGTAGTTTTCAGACGTTCTCTGGCATTTCAAACACACATGAATCAGTTCAATTCTTTTAATTTCAATATGATTTAATAGTACAACAATTGCAAAAATCTCTTTAAAAGAATGACTCACAAAATGAAGCTTTAAATTACTTTGAATTGTTACCTGATAAGACAGAAAAAAATAAATAAATGAAAAACCCAAAATAGCAACAGGAAACATTAAAAAATTTTGGACCACATCATATAGCCTAATTTTGTTAAGAAATGCTATTTTGTAACAAATTTCGTTTAGTATAATTTATATCTTTATTTTAATAAATTTTTTTTTGTTGGTCAATTATATACAAAAAGTAAACAAAAAGAATGATACATTTTAGGTAAAGTGTCGTGCAAATGATACTTGTTTCTATAATAAGGGAATTATGAATTAAATTCAAGATCTATTATAACATGTAAAATACAGTATTTCTGACAATTTTTTTAATAATTTGAGTTATGAATTACAGTATCGCAATACTATTTGGCATTGAAGTATCAGCTGGTGGCGCAGTAGGTAGTGCTGTCGATTCGAGCTGTGATTCAAGCTGAGTCATTTGGCGTTTCTGTGTGAAAAAGAAAATGTTGTATCTGTGTCGGTTCGCAGATTTTAGAATTATACCCTCGTAAAATTATGAGTACACTCTGTTTTCCTTTACATTTTTATAATTACAGATGCATGAATTTTATTTACGCACAAAATATTTATGACAGTGATTTTATTCCATAAAAAAACTTCAAAAAATTGTTAAAAAATCATGCTTAGATCAAATTGTTTTACATTTATTTTGTGTAGTTATAAATTAATAAACATATTAATTTATTAATCCGTAGATAAATTTATTAATAAACAAAAAATAATACTATTTCATTTCAATCTGATGATTGATCCATCAATAACAACAGAGAGACAGACAGAGAAAGCAATTAAATGTTAATTAAATACGTACAGCACCCCCAACAGCATGGTAAAAGTCTAACCACAAATCAATGCAAATAATTATTTCACATTCATACAATACAGCATATGATCTTATTTGATATTCACCGGAATGTGTCCCTCAATTTAACCTTCAATACAAGCTGTTAAAATCATGAGGAAAAACAGACAAGCAATATCTGTAGCGACAAACAAACAAACAACAAAGAGAACATGGCAGCTCACTCTGGAATCCAAGAGGCTCTGTAAGCTCTATCTGTGAAACACGACCCCAGAGTTATTCTTATAAAGCAGTATGTGACAGCATAGATCCAGCACACTCAGTGTCACGCTGTCCTCTGCTTTTGTCTGGATGCCTGCAGATTGCTGACTGTGACTGATGTCTGTCTGTCTGCTCTGGAATGGCATCATACATTATTTATGGCGACCAATAGTGGTTCACGCCTCGAGTTTACAGCAAGACGCCTAGATGACTGGCAGCCATGCAATTATAGCCATCATTTATAAACTGGCATGTGAATCTACACAAACAAAAAATAATAATAATTGGATTTACTACAAATCTTTATGGTAACTGGTTGCAAACAAATATATGGGCTCAATTTAAATGTTCAAATTAATTTGTGTGTTTAAATTCAACCCATATAAATTGTTTGCAACCAGTTACCTTAAAAGAAATGAAATTATTCTTTTTTTTAGTGTATAAAATATACAAAGAGAGCAATAAAATTTGAATCCATAAACATTGTGTATTATATATGTTTTTATTTATTTTACAATCTTATTTATTTATTTATTATTATATTCATTACCTTCTTTTTATGTCATACTGTCCTATTTTCTCACTCGTGTATGTATTTCTCTAAGTTCTGATGTGTGTTTTTAACGTGTATATATATGTATAATCATTGCTTTACTCATTGTTTACATAATGTGCAATGTTTTGGCAATACTTGACAAGTCATGACAATAAAGAATAAAGCTCATTTGAATGAGAGAGAGGGAAGAGAGAGGGAGAGAGAGAAACAAACACACATATACACACATTTAGATTATTATAAATGAATCATTATAAATCTGATTATTATTATTCATTATTACGGTTTTATGCATACATGTTTATTGTTAAATGTATAGTTTATTCTGATTTATATATTTTTTTACTATTATTATTATTATTACTATTATTACACTATATATTACAATACTATATTTACTGTGTTTATTATGTTGTTGTTGTTGTTTTAAATATATATTTATGGTCTTTTTAATGTAAACTTTATAAATGCTTTGGCAAAACATTTGCAACATTTGTCATGCCAATAAACATAGATATTGGCAGATAGATAGATAGATAGATAGATAGATAGATAGATAGATAGATAGATAGATAGATAGATAGATAGATAGATAGATAGATAGATAGATAGATAGATGTGACACGAGTAAATAAAAACAAATAAATACGTAATAGCTAATACATACAAGTTGATAACATGCCTGCTAATTCTGATGTATTAGACTGTCTACATATTGGTATTGTTTTAATATCATTCTAATTTGATACGAGAGAATGCATTTCTAGAAATAAACAGGGCGGCAGTGTGTTGCCGACATGTCTGAATATTGATGCAGAGACAACACAATTATCTTAATCGGAAGAATCATGAATAGATGAACCTTACCACTGTATTAGTCTATTTACATAACAAATGATACATTATTTTATTCCATGTGAATGTTAAAATCAGCTTAATTCTCCTGCCTGATGCTCGATCGTTACTGTGCTTTAAGAGCTTACGAAATGTCAATCATATGCGGCATCAACGTACAAACGCGATTTAAAAGCCGACATCGGCCTTTTGTAAGCAAACGTACCTCACTGAAAAGAAACGCTAAAATATCCTGAAGTCTGATCAATGTCCGGTTAGAAAGGTGTTTTTCTGTCGGTCGACGGCGCTTCTGTTTTCCTATTCACCATCTTCAGCCACAGCCATTTTGAAGAAGCGAAGCACTGTGCGCTGCTGCTTCCTCTCGGGCGAGTCCCTGACAACACACCGCATGACGTCACCTCTCACTTAGCATATGAATAGAAGCGAGAATTTACTGTTGTTTAATATATTCACATTAGTAATATTGAGAGATATTACATAATACTGTAATCACTGCTAGAATGTGTGATTTTGTGTATCTTGATGCGCAGTTTGTTGTTCTTTTTTTATATAAATGGGCAAAACGATGTACTTCATATTCCATTGTCTCCAAATGTCGAAATGTTTTCAGCTACAATTGTTTTAAAACTAGGATTTTTATGAACTAATATGAAATAACATAAAACAAGTTTTAATATCTTTTGAATTAAGGATTTGGTTTTAAACAATCTATACTTAAGAAATATCTATGATATTACATGGTTTTAAGTCAATTTTTTTAAACAAATAACTTGTAAAATATGTATAAGAAAATAAAAAATACTTGTTTTTAAAATTACAAATCGCACACTGGTACATAAAAATGGCCCACGGTAGAACCTGTCCCCTAATCATGAAGTCAGTAAGATCAAGTAACTTATTGCTATCTGTAGTGGCACAAAGTGCAAGGTTTATGTCTGTAGAGCAAAGAGCAGATTTTGAGCATGTGAGAATACGGAAAGCTAAATTATCAACGCTTCAAACATTATTCATTACTGAATAATGAATGTGTAACTAAATCATGCACATTAGATAAACAGTTCATTAGAAGACAAATATACAACATAGTAGTAGTAAAAAGACCTCTTTTAATCACATAATTTGCAAAAGAAAAAAAAAAAACATCGTTCCAGATCCACACAGAGAACATATATGGTTCAAACAAATCCAGTGGACATCGTCTACAACACAAACATCAGCCTTTTTTCCAACCTTAAGCAGGCCAAACCTTGAAGCTGACTAACACCATACAAAATGTGCATTACAGTGCATTCAGAAGCACTGTCTGCCTGACTCTCAGGTCATGCAATTAACAGTACTTTCCTTTTTTTAATTATTTTGCTGGGAATTACTTTAACATTCCAATACTTTCTGAAATTCCCAGTTTAGATGGGATTAGGCTGAGAAATACTTTCAATAATGAGAAAAGAATCTCTGGTCTTTAGAGTGGAATGTATTATGTGTAACTTTCAGACGACTTAAGTGAAGACTACATGGACAAGACGTTACGACAGACCATAACAAACATAACATGAAAAAAAAAAACAAGAGCCCGGTTTGTTTTAATGGTGCCACCATAAAATCATCAATCAAAAACTTGTCTTAAATTTTTGAGGACATTTAAACTTTGCACACATCTCCCTCCGTTCCAATAATCCAATAATTTCAGTGTTATTATGTTCCCTGTTAGTTTATTTAGTCGTATTTATTTTTACCCCTAGCACATGAAAACTCGTCTGTTTTCAAATATACCATTTCCAGCTTTCTGCTTGTCATTTTGCAAGAAAATCCTATTTACAGCCCAACACCACCAGGTTAGGACACTAAAACTTGCTGTGACAAGTTGGATTACAAAGGGAAGGTCACATTAATCTATACAACAGTGTTTTCTTGGCAATAAAACTCTTCGTATACCAGTCAGATTTGATTCCAACATTTTGAATCACTGTCGAATCCCATTACCACTACATGAGCCAAGGGATGACGTTACTCTATCAGTCCAGGCAGACGCTGGTTGGTTGGTTTATTTGTGAGCTTTAGTTGATCTGACTCTCTTCAAGTGTGGCTGGAGAATAGGTACATTTGCCCAGTCTGTGAGTGTAAAGACGTTTGGTAAGTTGTTCCAGGACTCATGTGGCTTTTTGTTTCTGGTTGCTGTCTGTGCTCTCCAGGCTTGGCTGTGCGGCGGATAGCTGCTCCTTCAGCCGTAGATGCCGTGGTTTGACCGGCAGAGCGATGGCCAGCAGTATACAGCCTATGTGGAGGCAGAAGTACCATGACCTGCAGAGATATAGAGAAAGCAGAATGTCAACCTGTTGATCGAGAAAGAATGTTTTTGAATGTGTTGTGGTTTGTCAGGCCCACCTGTAGAACTTGAGCGAGGGGCCCACAGAAAGCAGCACAAAGGGAACTACTGTGTAACAAATGGCGATCTGTGTAGCTGCCCATGTGATGACGTCATACACAAATTTGTGACTTGGGGAACCCAAGAAATGTGGTCTTACATTGTGCCTCACCTAAAAGAAAAAGGGACAATGATCATCATCCTTAAAGAGATAGATCAACCAAAAACTAAAATATGCAGTTGGTTCACCCCAAAAGAGATAATTTGCTGTTTAATCAAGCATGTTGATCCAATCCCGAGACCTTTGTTCATCTCGGGAACACAAATGAACATGCTCTCGTCTTCCATAGACAGCAATGGTCTAGACTCTAGAGACGTTCAAACTCAAGAAAAGCAACATGAAACATTAAATCATTTCAATTCAATGGTCCAGTTGTAATCATGCAAAGCTCCAAGTACCCTTTTGTGTGCCAAAAAACTACAAAAACAACTTTGTTCATCGATGTATTTTGCGCCATATTAGGGTGTGCAGTTTTAATACAACGCTTGTGTGTTGTGCAGCTGACTCGTACTATATGTATATGGACAATACATTGTATTGCCAGGTGTTCTTGGAACTTCATATGATTCCAGTTAAACCACTGAAGTCACATGGAATGTTTTGACAATGTTTCTGGTTAATTTTCTGGACTTTTGGTCTCTAGACCATTGCGGTCTATGAAAGATGAAAGCTTTTGGATTTAAATTTTGATCTGTTCTGAAGATAAACAAAGATCTCAGATATTAAAACAACATGAGGGTTAGTAATTAATAAGAGCATTTTAATTTTATGGTAAATGCATACGTTTTTAAGGTACAATTTATAAAAGACGTGAATGTTTGAAGAGAGTCTTGATGACATCATTTGAGATGTTTCATGAGAGTAATTACGGCCCATTTTTACTTTGTGGTACAGTATAGTACGGTACGGGTCGGTACAGGTCACCTTTATGAGGCCTGCATTTCCACTGTCAAAAGGGTACCAATGGTGTACAACCAAAAGTTTCAGTCGACGTCATTCTCGCTTGAGGAAAATGTCAAAGTAAAGCTGTACAGGTCGTTCACATATTATATGAGAAGTACTTTTCACAAAACAGAGGCTTTATACACATAAATACATCCGTATAAATGTTAATTACTAACTTTTCCATGAACACGATTGGATTATAACTGCAGATCATTGATAAAATAGCCTACTGTAACATCTGCAATTATCAATTACAATTAACGTTCTAAATGCAACATATATGAACACAACTGCCCCTTACTGTCTCCGATATGTTACCAATTACAGAAAAACTACACACAGTATAAAGTAAATTTAATGCTTATTTGGCTTTAAAAACACACAACATACATATAGCCTACAGTCAGTGCAAACCTCTCATCTGTATCTTAAATGTTCACCAGCACATGTAGCCTCTGTTAGAAAGCAATTCCATAATTCTGAGTTTATAATAGTCCAAAAGGTGATGATAATAGTTAAACATGGAGGTTTGTTCATGTTTTAGGTTAGTTTCTGAAAGAATCGGATGTCAGAAGCACTTCAATAATCATGCGTACGTTATTATCATCAGCTCGGTACAAGAATTTTGCTATTTCAAATATAGACGAGCGGCAAGCACACATGAGAAAGCGAAACCGCTCATGCTTTTAGACGGCCTTGTAAAACAAAAACAGGACACAGCAGATTTTGTCCTTCTTTTTGGCTTTGTGGCTGTTCATCAAGACGACGACAAAGTTTGTTTGAGCTCATATCAACCATGGCCCATTATTATATGTATAGATTTTTACGGTGTAATGTCTCGACTGTGCATTTAAAATTGCCGATTTCTTTGTTTTTATTCTCCTGGCTTGTTGCAGGAGCGAGTGATGTATCTCTGTAAACCAATAGCGTTCAGTTTAGCGTTTAGCTCCGCCTTTTAGTAGCCTTTTGTTGTGCTAGATACCCTTTGTAAAGGATACCCAAAAAGTGGTTCGGTATGATTCGCTTTTAGTTACCATTTGACAGTGGAAACAACCATGAAAGTGTACCGAACCGAACTGTACCATACTGTACCACTAAGTGAAGCTAAAGTTCTCTTTTGGCATACTTTGCTCACTACGATTCTCTGAAAGGTGAAATTAGAACAGCTGTGCACTACAGTATTTCATAAGTAGTTATATATTGCAAAACACAAACAGTGCTCAGCATAATTAAGTACATCCCGTTTTTGAAAATGAATATTTTTATCCATTTCTCAGTAAATATGGGTAATATATATTAGTGCATTTGAACAAAACAGATTTAATAAACATATATATTTGTTAAAATAATATATTAGTCACAATATTCGACAAAATATTAATATTTTAGTCACAGAACATGGAAAGATAATCAAATTAAATTCATGCAAAATATTGCAAAAAGATTTCAAACTACGAAATTTCAACAAAACTTTATATATTTTTTGTTTTTATAGATTTTTCCTATTTTTGAAAATGTTATTTAATATTTTCCCCATAAATTTAACTAATAATTTTTGAACAATTACCGTAAGTTATTTTGTTAGATTAGCTCCAGATTTGGCTTCGATACTGACTAAACTATTGTATATGCACAGATATAATATTTTGTACAGCATCCTATAGAAAATATTAATTTAAATGAGAGATTTGTAAAAGGTGTACACATGTATATACATATACATTGTGTGTACACAGGTGTTTACTGTACATATGCTGAGCACTCTATAGTTGTGCATTTTGTTTATTGTACTACTAACAGACAGATCCCGTTCCCCCCAATGACTGTAAAAAATATGGACGACGCGACAGCCCTTTTTCCCATTGAACGCCTTGAGGGCAAAACGCCTGCTTGACGGGCACAAACTTTCGCAAAAGACTGCTGAAATTGGAGCCAGACATGCGCAGAAGGATTGTCTGATGGAGCCAGAGGAGGAGCCGCGAAAATGAGCAGAGTCGAGCTTCCAATCAAACGCTTTATGTAAAATCAACTACGCCCCCCGAACTTCTCAGCATGCGTTTGCTGTCATATCAACACTGATGGATGTAATAACGTTAACAAATATGAGGGTTTTATATATTCAATCGCGCCAGCTCCAGGCCGCAGCGCATAACTTACTCGCGGCGTCGCGGGCTGATTCCGGCTCCTATGCGGCAGCGCCTGCTCGCTCGGCCGCCGCATCTGGCTCGATTGACTCGGACTGGAATCGGGCAGTGAGTCCAGGCATCCGGAGTAGGTCCAGCAGAGGTAACATTAGTCAGTCTGAGCTCTAAGAGATAAGTCTCCGGCAGGCGAGAATCTAGCCGGAACTGTGTTTTGCTATCTGGGTGGTTAGGCGTGTATCAGCAAACTAATAAAGCCCGAAAAAAGCCCTGAACTTAGCGAATAAACAGTGTTCCACCAGGATCATGTATGTCAGAAACTATAGTTTACTGCTGAACTCATTTTGTCATGGTAAAATAACACAGAAATCGAATAATAACATTTCAGTCTACTTCAGTCTCCTGCCGAAGCTCAGACGCCGCGCTTTGAGAAACTGTCAATCACAGCTGTCAATCACGATGACATGCCCAGCATTAAATTACTGCTAAAAACAAACTGTTCACAAAAATGAAGATCTGCACCTATTTCAGCACAATAACCAGTGCCTTAATCGACCAGAACTATCTTTCGGGACATTTTATTGCAAGTGTAATATTTTTTTTTATTTGGGCTCAAGTCTCCTTCATTAACACGGAGGAGGCGGGCTTTATGACTTGTACTGCAGCCAGCCCCCAGGGGGCGATCTAACGGCCGAAACCTTCACTCAAACGTAGGCTTGCGGCACACTTGGTTCCCCCTGATAACAATAATACAGCAGGTGACCCTAAAGGTAACTATAATTCTACTCCTTGTGCTCCTTATGGTCAAGCAAATAGCTCCCTCAGACAAAAATGAAAGGAATATTGTGAAGTGCACTGCATGTTTGGTATCAATATGGTAAAACTCACGGCTCTGGCTGCGAGAGTGATGACGATGCCCGTGAGGAAGGTGAGGTAGTAGCCTGGATAAGCCCCATGCCACATGGCTGACAGCAGGAAGGTGGCAGCAGTGGGATTGTAAGGACAGCGTTCATAACACACCCTACAGGACAACACATCGTGTCACACATAATAAACCAGTATGCAATTATTATGCTTGCATATAAATGAATAAAGGATGGAAATTAGAGGAAAGAAAATCTTTTCAACTAATGCCTTTATTCTTAGTATTCCTTGATGACAGGGACAACAATTTCTTTAAGACATAGTATATATTTGTTTTTACATTATAAGGGTCATGTTTTAAATGTACCATATTATTGCAACAATATGTCAAAAATAACATTTTTGTTATAAAGTAATATTGTTTATAATTCCACTTTTGAAAATTATTACTGCTGATGATAAACAATTCATTAGACTAAAATGTACTGTACAAGTTTTGTGTTTGGGAAAACAGCATGTTGCATTTTTGCACACAGACAGAACATAATGGTATATGAAATCAAACTAGCATGGTTTATTCAAATTAGTTTTTTCTCTCCTTTTTTGTTAAGAAAGTAATACTTTAATAATAGACCCTTTTCACAAACCGATTATGACACGTTTAACAATCATCAGCATCTTAGATCCTGGAAGGGTTTCAAAATAATAATAACAATAATAATAATAATAATAATAATAATAATAATAAAACTTACATTTATAAAGCTATACGGTTATATAATTTGTCTTCAAATTACAAAAAAACCTAATTACCGCTTATGTGATTTGTTTCTATTACATTGTCTATGGGTGGGTCAGTAAATTTGTTGTTGTTCATTTGTTCATTGTTTTGTTTTGCTTTTTCTGAAAGTCTTGATAACACTACGGTTGAGTTTTTCTTTTATTATTTTATTATTATTTTCATTATTACTCTCTCATTCACTGGATTTCAAGTTTACCCAACTATGACAACTTTCGCACTTTGACTAGATATTTTTCAAGACACTTCTATACAGCTTAAAGTGACATTTAAAGGCTTAACTAGGTTATTTGGTTAACTAGGCAGGTTAGGGTAACTAGGCAAGTTACTGTGTAACGATGGTTTGTTCTGTAGATAATCAAGAAAAAATATAGCTAATAGGGGCTAATAATTTTGTCCCTAAAAAGGTGTTAAAGATTTAAAAGCTTTTTTTAACTCTACCCGAAATAAAACAAATAAGATTTTTTCCTGAGGAAAACATATTATCAGACATACTGTGAAAATTTCTTTGCACTGTTAAACATTATTTGGAAAATATTTTAAAAAGAAGAAAAAATTTAAAGGGGGCTAATAATTCTGACTTCAACTGTATATATGTATATATATGCATGTGTGTGTGTGTGTGTGTGTGTGTGTGTGTGTGTGTATGTGTGTGTGTGTGTGTGTATATAATGTGTGACATCCACGAAAATATGACGCAGTTTGTTCATTGTAGACAACAAATGGGCAAATTATATAGCTTTCTGAAGAGTCATGTGACACTGACAACTGAATTAATGGCTAAGGAAAACTCATAACAGGATCACAGGAATAAACAACAATTTAAGACAAAAATTACAACATAAAACAGTGTTGTTTTGTAATAACATGTCATAATAGTACTGTTTTATAGTATTTTTTATTAACTTGATTAGTAAGAATAAATTCATTTGCAAACATAAATCTTATCAAAAGTACATTATACAAAAGTGTAAGATAGTACTCTTCTGGTTCTTACCTTTTAAGCCAATGTGCTGTTTGGATGTTCCAGTTATCCAAGAAAACCTTAAAGCTGGTGGCAAGCTAAAAACAAATTTGTCTGATTATGACTTCTAATTGACTCAAAGAATACTAATAAACAAATGAAATAAAATAAAAACAGTTTAGCTGACCTCTATATTCAGAATTCTGATGTTGGAAAGGAGATCCCACCGAGGTGAACCATCACTGTCATAGCCATTAAAGCCAAATCCTGCAGCATTGTTGATGGCATCAGCTAATGAGAAAGACAGCATGAGAGTCAAATTACTTTTACATCAGACATATTAACTCTAATTAAACCTAGAACACGTCTCCATGTTTGCTTTGAACATTTATATGAAATGGGGCATGTGTGTGTTTGTCAAAACGAGTCATTTATCATCAATTGTCAAATTAAAATAAATAAAATAGTAAATGTATTGCTGTCATATCAGCATTGCTAAGTCGAATTAGAATGCTTGCACAGGAATATGAGTTTTAAATGAAAATTCTGAAAATAATTTGTACAGTGTTTAATAAACTAAATTAAAATTAAATTTAATGTACAGTACAGTATGGGCTGAACTATTGAAAAGGAATATGACTTTTATTTCAATCTTTTGTCTGAAGAGGGCAGTGAAACACAAGCTATAAGAAGCATGTCTGTGTTGTGTAAGATGTTGATCCCAATTCAAATAGGTCACAAAACCAGTCCTAAAAACAAATGATGGATGATGCATCCTAATGTGTAATTAATTGTGCCCACGGTGCGGCATAAATGATAATGATGGAATGTAAAAGACAAACTACCACTCAAGCTTGATTAAATGATTCTTTCCGGTATGGTTCAACAGACGCATTTATAACACATTAGGTAGATCGAAAAGACAAGTTGAAAACTAGAAAACTGAAGTGTCATGCTCTTTGAGAATTAAGGGTTGCATGCTTAATTATATGTCGAATGGATTTCATAAAAGAATAAAATGAAAAGGAAAAACTAAAAATATTTAATTGTCAATAAACTGTACATATTGATCAAAATCACATTTTAATGTCTATTAAAATAAATGAGCAAAAGTGATCGTGATTTTATATACATACACAGAATATTAACTGCAGTATGAAAAGTGATGTATGATGAAATGTCAATATATAATGATGTATGTTCTTAGGTTATTTGAACTACTCGCTCTCTTTCTCTCTCTCTCTCTCTTTAAATGTATATGTATAGGTATATATATATATGTATTTAAATATATATATATATATATATATATATATATATATATATATATATATATATATATATATATGTGTGTGTGTGTGTGTATGTGTGTGTGTGTGTGTGTGTGTGTGTGTGTGTGTGTGTGTGTGTGTATATATATATATATATATATATATATATATATATATATATATAAAATATTAAACAGGATCCATTCTAAAGTCTGCATAGGATTCATAAGATTTTGTATATATATATATATATATTAGCAGTGTGAACTTACACTGGTTTCACGGTTCCGTTACGGTTATCATGCCATTGATTCGGTTCAATTCGATATCTCGGTGCATCAGTGATGCTTTCCATTAACACTTCGATATTTTACTTAGTAACAGAATAATTCTTGTATTTAAATTGAATTTATAATTTATACATTTATATAATATTTGGAATGCATTTTTTTCCCTTAATACAGACAGATATATTTACTGTACCTTTAAATTTACCTGCTCAGTGAAAACATATACATATATTTTTGAACATATACAGTTAAAGTCAGAATTATTAGCCTCCCTTTGATTTATTTTCTTTCTTTTTTTAAATATTTCCCAAATGTTGCTAAACAGAACAAGGAAATTTTCACAGTATGTCTGATATTTTTTCTTCTGAAGAAAGTCTTATTTGTTTTATTTTGACTAGAATAAAAGCAGTGTTCATTTAAAAAAAAAAAAAAACATTTTAAGTTCAAAATGATTAGCCTCTTTAAGCTATATTTCAATAGTCTACAGAACAAACCATCGTTATACAATAACTTGCCTAATTACCCTAACCTGCCTAGTTACCCTAATTAACCTAGTTAAGCCTTTAAATGTCACTTTAAGATGTTTAGAAGTGTCTTGAAAAATATCTAGTCAAATATTATTTACTGTCATCATCTGGCGCTGTTCAGCAAACTGTGACACGGACAGTGATGTTAAACAGCTGCGGCGATCAGCTGATCCATTATAGATGGCGACACGGTGCAGAAAACTCACTCTGCAGACACACTTGTGTCTGGATCCACAAGTAACGTTGAATTGTGAATTGTGCACAACTGTCTGTTTTTTAAGTAGTTGGAGCATTTTAATTACTCGCGGTCTCCTCCGTCGCTATAGTAAGCTACTGTTATGTTACACATATGTGATAAATGATGTCATCATTAACCGGTTATGATTACAACTGAACAGTTACCGAATTGTCCGCATCTGTATTGCGTTGTGTATGTGTGTGTGTGTGTGTGTGTGTAATGTAGCTGAAGTCAGAATTATTAGCCCCCCTGAATTATTAGCCTGTCTGTTTATTTTTAACAGGAGAAGATTTTTTTCAACACATTTCTAAACATAATAGTTTTAATGACTCATTTCTAATAACTGATTTATTTTATCTTTGCCATGATGACAGTAAATAAAAATTTTATTAGATGTGTTAAAGACCCATCTATACAGCTTAAAGTGACATTTAAAGGCTTAACTAGGTTAATTAGGTGAACTAGGCAGGTTAGGGTAATTAGGCAAGTTATTGTATAACAATGGTTTGTTCTGTAGACTATCGAGAAAAAAAATAGCTTAAAGGGGCTAATAATTTTGACCTTAAAATGGTGTTTACAAAACTAAAACTGCTTTTATTCTAGCCAAAATGAAACAAATAAGACTTTCTCCAGAAAAGAAAAATATTATCAGACATACTGTGAAAATTTCCTTGCTCTGTTAAACATCATTTGGGAAATATTTAAAAAAACAAAAAAAAATTCAAATTCAAAATTACATATGAAATATATAAACGATTAAGGAATCATAGTAAATTTTTCTTATATTTAAAATGATTATTTAAATTATTCTTGCTGACAACTGGGTAAAATAGCGGTTTAAAGCATAGGGGGAGGGTATAATGTATTTAAAAGGCGGTTAATTAGCATTTTAAGACTGCACTTTGATTCTTGGCATATATAGTGATGATGATTTTTGGTACATAAACTGTAAATTATTGTGAAATTTATGATTAGCTCACGAATAAGTACAACTAAAAGTGACACAATATCAAGTCTGAGGTAAAAATTCTATATTGTCATTATGATCAATATATTTTTTTTATTAAAAAGATTTATAAACATCTCTAAGAAGCAACTAAACTTATGCTAACCAAGTGCATGATGCTTCTGCTAATAAACTATGAAATCAGAACAGAAGAAGACAGAAAGCATTCAGTAAAGATTCAAAAATAAAAGCAGAAAGTAAATCAGAGAGATGTGAAGAGAAGGAGAGGCAGGAAGTCCACGCACCCAGAGTCCAAACAAAGTAGTATTTAGGCCGGGTGGTCAGCATGGACAAATACAGGTAGACCACCTGAACATAGAAGGGTGAGGTGGCAATAAAATCATCATCGACGTTACGCTCCACGGGAAACACCTTGCAAACGGAGAGGAAAACCAGCAGAGAGATGAAGCAGGTGGACAGCTTTCGGATCACCTCTGTCTGTTGACAAGCACACACACAGACTGATTTACAACAAATGTAGACAATTTTGGAATAATTTTAAAATAAACTACAGATAATATACACTGTTGGTTAAAATCTTGGGATTTGGGGTTTGATGTTTAAAATAGGTTAATAGGTTTATTCCACAAGGACACCAACAATTAAATTTAAAGCCATTCATACTATTTTAATGCACTTTGGTTTAAAAAAAATTCAATAAAAAAAATGTTTTTACTAATTGAATAAAATTATATAATAATACAAAAATATACATTGATAACACTTCAAAGCCTTGCTCAAAGGAATAAATTACAGCTCTGTATAAAAAAAAAATAATAATAATAAAAAAAACACTTCATAGTTTTTATCAGCTCTCGGTTTTTAGTAAAACATTTAATAAACTACAAATAATGTTTTTCCAAACATAAAAAATTTTAAAATAAAAAATATACATTATACTATTTATAAATAAAAAATTATGAACAATATAAAAAATGTAATGTTTAAATATTAAGGAAATAATATATACATATACAGTCAAGCACCAAATGGGATATATGCACACAGACTTTTTATTTCAGCCAGCCAGCCAACACCCAGGGCTTCTGGGTAATTGTCATGCCATGCAAAATTACCATGTTTAAGGTCAGATTTCTTCAAAAAACAGTGATCTTCACTGCCTGGCTAAGATACAATATTAAATGGGTATCAGACCAAACAAGAAGGATTGCATTAAATAATATTTTTCCACGCCATGTTTTTTAAAATATGGACATTAATTTTACTAATGAGTTAGTATTATTAATTTAACTTATTAATTTTAATGAGTTTCTGCGCGAGCATGCTGCTATTGATGGTGCCTGAATTTAAACTTTTTTTTTTACGCTTTAACAACCAACATGGATGCTTAAGTCTATTTAACTGATTATATGTGAATTACATTACACCATCGATGTTGTAAAAGGAACCTTATGAAATTGAAAATAGTCACATAAAGCTTTCCCCCGAAGTTCATCACTGGCTGAAAAACACTAGCTGTGCATATAGCCCATTGAATGAATACTTTTGGGTTTGACTGTATTTAAAATATGAACATATTACAAAGTGAAAACCTGGAACAGTGACATGGTAGTTCACAAAATAAACCACAAAGAAAATTACTTGAAAATGTGCTTATTAATGGCAAATTAAGAGAGCTGTTAATACATTAAGTAGTATTATAAAATATATTTAAAATGTATTTTTTTTTCCAAGTAAAAAATAAATAATACTAACATTTGGTGAAGGGTCATTCAGTCTGCTCTTCCCATTGACTTTTCCTTTAGGCTCGAGGTCTCTGTGGCGATACGGCGTGCCCTCGATGAATGCAATGTAATCATTATAAGAGCAGGTGGGACCAGCCAAAATGCCCATGAAATTACAATTATAACTGAAGTACTCCAATAAACTGGGCATCCGTCTGGATGAAACACAGAGAAAAAGATGATATTAGAACTGCTTTATCACAAGAGTAACATCCTATGCTACTAAGATATCTGGCAGTGATAAATATGAAAGGCAATACAGTTTATACTCTCATCTTTTTTAAAGTGTTTAAATTTAAGCTACTTTCATATGTACATACCTTATAGCCAACAGTTTTTGACCCTGGTTGAGCTGTTCTACCTTCCTCGCCATTCCTGTAAACACAAAATATCAACATTCAGAAACTAATAAAAGTCCAAGGTAGTAAATAACTTTATTTTTAAAAATATGTTGCCAGAAATCTGTAATTCGCTCCCCAGTGAAAACTCTTATTCAATGAAAATCCATGGAAAATTTAAAGAAACGTACATTACTTCACTATATGCCAACAGTCAACTTTATCAAATGAAATGAGTGTAGTTAACTCAAAATGTACTGAAAGTTAATTCTACTCATTTAAAAAGAGCGTTGAACTCAGTTGAAGGTAATGAGTTAATTGAATACCTCAATACTTCAACTTAAATGAAGTTCACTGTACTCATATAGATTAGTTTTTTTTACTGAACTTGTTTGTAGCAATCGGTTCCCTCAAACGGTTTGAGTTGTCTAAACTTAATATGTTTCCCAGTTTGAGTTCTCTTTATTTATTGGGTTTTACTGTGCTCAAATTTCTTCATTTACTTAAATGGATTAAGTTCACACTATTCATTAAGATTACTTTTTGGACTTAAATGATTTGTTGCAATCGGTTTCCTCAAATAATGTGAGTTACCATAACTTTTTGGGTGTTTAAATGACATTTTTCTCCGTTTTCTGTATAGAGGAAACAAGTCATAACAAAATTAGCATAATGAAGTCTTTATTGGCCTCCAATGATTAATGTCAACTTTGACCCTTATACACTGAAGTTAGCTCAGGTCTGGAAAATTTGATTGTGCTTTTGACATGTTGAGAAAATGCCATTTCCTGCTGTTTCCACTTTTCCACTTTTTAAAGAATATGTAAAATCATATATCTATTCACTAAAAAAGAGTGATGACAATAATATCGAAATGTTCAAATATTAAAGAAAATTCTGTCAGCTATGGTCAAGCTACTGACATTATCACCACAGCATGTTAGCTTTGGTGTAGTGTAGCAGTTATTAATTTATGGCATGGTTTACATAAAAATTACAGAGATCTTAAACACAAATATGATCATTATTTGACATCTTTTGAAATTAAACTGTTTGAATTTTGTTTTCTTTTGCATTTTTACTGCACAAAAAAATTGTAAGTTCATTTGTTTTCCTTTTGAGATTGACATTTTTTCTGTAATTTAGTAGGAGATAAAATGAATAAACATTAGAATCATTCAATTGCAGATTTGACTAAAATATTAAATTACAAATTATGTTTTTTTTTTCCAACAAATGCTGTGCATTAATTAATGCACTTGGCCAATACTATCAAAGTATAGTAAATGAAAGCGTCTTTTCTCATGAAATGTTATTCTTGTATTGCATGCAGAAATTCAATTAAATAGTCTGATTTCATGTTTAACAATAAGTATTTAAAATTTTAATCCAACTTTTTACTACCTTTGTAGTATTCTATATGGAAAAAATAGGCGCATTCAACACCACAAAGCACCTTTAAGTGAAACTCTGTGTTTGTAAGCCTTCTCAAATTATTACAATGTTATATAATTCACTGGTTTTGACAACTCGCATTACACCTCAACCCTGTCATCATTGTTCCAGATGCTATTCACAGGATATTCTAACACCTCTTGTGAAATAGGCATACTGCAGTCATACTGGAGGATTCAATTTAGCAGGTACCTTATAAATAAAGCATTTTATTCACAGACAAACTCAGAATGCGAATGTGCAAGGTCCTTCAGAAAAGCGTATGTGGTGTAATTCATTTAAATAACTCACTGTTAGAAATCTTGCCGTTTCTTTCTAAACGCAAAGTACGTTTGTCCACTCATGAGAAGTGGTTTGGTCTAACACTCCCTGATTTACAGATGTAATTAGAGAAGGAAGAAATGTGCTGTAAATTGACTTGGCTCAGAGTTTATCTGGTCGACTCGTGAGTCTCCTCTGCCTCAGCTGTTTGTCTTCCTGCATGATAAGACAAAGGAAAGGCGACCCGAGGTAAGTGGCTTGAATAATTTCTTGTGTTTTATTGCCACCCTTATGCACATAACAAGAGGACAGGCCACTTAAAATGCTTTCACTACGGTTTATGAGCAACAAACAATGCAGCGACAGACCTTCATCTACAATAAGGACCGACATTTCCTAAGGATGGAGGTCAGCAAGGCCTTCTATTGGGAACTGTGTTCCTATTAGTGTCCTACAGACCACAGGGAATATCAATGACAGGTTATTCAGGGCAACAGGCAAGTGAAACCACTTTATAAGAGTCCTGGCAGACAACTAACAATTTATATACCGATTTAAAATAACGATTTATTTACCAAAATGAGTTATTTTATATCACAGAAACAGAATGTACGCATGATTTAGTTATTCATGCTGGAAATCGATGTAAAATGCTTTATATTAAATAACCAATGAGGCAATGTCCCTTTTTGGATAATCCACTGGACTAAATACTTTAAAAATGAAAGGTACTTTGTCTAATTTGATTATTTTCTCTTTTTACCTGGAATATGATGGACATGAACTAAAAGATTAGTCAGAACAAATGAACAAATGATGTCTGGGATCAGTGCAAAAATAGCTTTATGTTACGCAATGAAGGCTAAAAACAGACTCTAATAAATAAAAAAAGAATAATTATGATATTAAAAACTGATAGATAGCACATCTGTGACAGCACATCAGTTTGACTCTATATCAGTGCAATACGTTGTTACAGTGTAGCTACTATTGTAAAAGCGGTAAATATATAAAAAAAACTAACAACTTAGAAATTCTTAATATAATTTTTTATAATATATAATATATAACTACAACAAAAAACTAATTCTACAAAACTACATAAAAACAAACACTTATTAACATTTATAAATAAAATTAAAATGTATAATAGATTTAAATCTTAAAATCTGAAACTCTAAAAAACTTAATATAAGTTATAATAATAATAATAATAATAATAATAATAATAATACAAAACAAAAAGAAAAAAAAAGAAAAACCTAAGGTCCGTTCTTCATACGTAAATACTCAGTTAGCTGGATTTGGTTATTGATGACTTGACACGATCCAGGATCGTTTCGTTCTTCAAAACTCATCCAAGAGTTGTTGTCATAGCAACAGGTCTGGTAGCTCAAACCTGCTGGGGAGCAGGCTCGTTTCATATAAACAGGATTAGATGGGGTCAGTTAAAGCAAAGGTAATAGTGAATGTATGTACCGATTACTGATATTTTCTTACAGTAGTAGTTATATACACTTGAGAAAATAGTAAATATATATATATATTTTTTTTTTAACTAAGTTTAAATATATTTATAAAATTAATAAAACTTATGCAATCTGCACTGCGAAATAAAAGTACAAAGACTGTCACCTGGTGGTTCAAAGAGAAAATTTATTGATAAGAACTTTTTAGATACAAACGCGTACAATCGTTTCAGTACTATACAGTATGATAAAAGACATGCACAATATGTGACTTTTTTTAAAGGAATAATAATTTATGCAGTCATGCACATGTTTTGACAGTTATGGTGATTTGATGCTACGCAAAAGTTGCAGACAACTTTACCAATATCAAAATGCTTTTGTGATGCAAAATTAAATTTAAACATCTAGTTATTCTTTATAGGCTACCAATTAAAAAAACGGCTACTGTAATAAAGAAAATCCACTCTAACTGTAAAACTTAACAAATTGCTAAATAGGCTACTCTTGACACATGAAAGTGTAAACCCTGTAGACCACTACAAAGTTGAAGTTATTGCGTATCATATTTAACAAACCATTATAAATGTTATGTAATTTTGCTCACATGGATAAATGAATATTAATCAGATGATGTCATTACGCTGCTATGCAGTCAGCCAACCGTTACTTTGCTAATCATGATTTCGAGGATTGATAGATTTGTCCTTCACAACACACGCAGTGATCTTACATCTGTTCATCCAGACATTTTAACCTGATTTGCGAAATTGTTTGAAAAACCAAATTAGCTAGTGATCATTTATCAAGATTAACAAATCCAGGATCTGCCAAATCATCTTAGATTATTTAAGTGAGGTACAAAGAACGGACCCCTGGTCAGAATCAAAAGGTACTGACATAATCAGCAGTAAAGAGTAAAAACAAACAATGTATTGTTAAAAACAAACAAACTTTATAGATTAAATTAAAATGTATATTAAATTTCAAAGGTCTTAGCTGAAATTCCAAAAAATAAATAATAAAATAACAACAATAATAACAATAATAACAACAAAAACAACAATAAATTGATAAATAAATTAAAATATAATAATAATAATAATAATAATAATAATAATACAAAAACAAAAACAAAACAAAACCCTGGCCAGAATAAAAGGTACTGACATAATATGAGTAAAAACAATTTATTGTTAAAAACAAACAAAAATATTTATATTTGTAGATAAAATTAAAATGTATATTAAATTTCAGTCCTAAAATCTGAAATTCTAAAAAATAAAATAATAAAAATAAATACAGTAATAAAAAAATAATTAAATAAATAAATAAATAATAATAATAATAATAATAATAATAATGAAAAACAAAACAAAAACCTTGGCCAAAATAAAAGGCATTAAGATAAACTGAGTAAAAACAAGCAATACAAAAAAAAAAAAAAAAAAATTATATATATATATATATATATATATATATATATATATATATATATATATATATATATATATATTTGCACAAATTAAAATTTGATTAAATTAAATGGAAGGAAAAAATCTGGCACAGCAGAAGCTGTCAAATCCCCCAATATCACCCTCTCCTGCACAAGCGATGCAGTAAGGTTACAGAGAGGACAAAAAGCAAATCTAAAGTGAATCTGCTCTTTGTCATCTCCATGACAAAGGTTTGCAGGCCAGCAGCTGAGCTCAGCAGAGGACAAAGAAATAAATTAGTGATAATGGTAATATTAAGAAGAGTGGTGTGAGGAGCTTGCATCATAAGGGTAATCTGTCACCCTGTGGAACAATAGAGGGGCAAAGCGAAGGAGCGAGTTGTTTTCATTTGCTTTCATTTCACCCTTCTGCCTTCCATTCCTTTAATTAGTTTCTCTGGCCCTTTGGCAGCACATTTAACAATCACAACAGCAGCCGTCTGGAACAGCATCCAGAACTGAACCCCAATGCGTCATTCCGCTGTATTTTCTGAATTTCAACCAAACACACATACACACACTCACCATCATGGATCTCAAAAGCCACACTGGTTATTTTCTGTGTGATGACCATCATTGGCCTGTAAGGAAGTAAAAGAAAATTGTGGGTAGACAATAAAAACAATGAAGCTGAGGAACCTCAGAGTGAAAGGCGTTTTTTCTTACCCCGTAAAATCAGCAGAGTACATTCCGTAATCGAAGACGTAAACCCGAGTGATTTGGCAGAAGCTGAGATAACCCAGGGCGACCACCAAACAGTATCTGCAAAGCAACCCAAAGAGCTTTTTTTTACATCCAAGCTGTTTCATATGCATTGACGCACTTCTTTATAACCGTTTCACTTTAGGTAATACAAATAAACTGTTTGTAAGAGCTTTGATACTATAAGACCTGCAGGATGCCATTAAAACTTAAAAACAAGTCGAAACATTTAAAACAAGAAAGCTAACAAATAGCTCAGAGATGTTTCCACAAATGTGATCTGCAGAGCCTGTGAGTGTGTGTAAATATGTGTGCCTGATTTAATGTTCCAGCATCGATAATCGCACAATACTCACGTTGCAGGATATGATTATAGTTGATCAGCACAACAGTTAAATACATGAGATTTGTGTTTAACAATAACACTGAAAATATTTTACTTTCATGTGTTTTAAAGGCATTTCAAGAGACTTTAAAGTATTCGGGCACAACTTTAATAAAGAATTTCTCGAAAGTGGCTACAACTGGAACCTCCTACAAAATCTGAATGGTTGGATATCATATCTAATGTTCAAAATATGGAGAGGATGACTTTTTCTTTAAAACTACAAATGGACAAATACCTGCAATATTGGGAGAAATGGATTGTACTTATGCCTTTACAGAGTGTAATCTGATTTATATATGTATTTGTTCATTTGACCTGTAAGGAAATATGTGACCTGTCAACCGTTTATTTAAGTTCTGGTGTTTTATTGTATTATTTACCTAATTTTATTCTTTTTTTAACCTACTTTTTGTGTTTTTTTCCCCTAGTTTTATTTATTTATTTATTTATTTCTTCTCTCCTTAAAAGAAATAAACCTGAATGCTGTTCGACTCTCTGGAAAACCATAAGCACTGTTTATTTGACTTTTTTCTTTGCTCTGTTGTAATTATTTTTGCTCAGAATTTTGTCTATTATTTTTATACATGATTCACACGCTCACAAAAATCACCCCAATCAATCAAAAATAATTATTTCTTTCCAAATGGAGCTATTCAAGCCATCTGGAGAAATTGTACTCATATGGCAATATTGTGCAGCCCCAGTGCATGGACTATTATTTTATGACATTATTTCTCTGTATGTTTGTATAATGCAGAATATCAGAAGTGGAATTTAAATTGAAGGCAGAAGACAGGAAATTCTCAGAAACAAACAAAAAGGTCAAACACAGGTGTGTTTTTGTTTAAAGCTGCGAACACATACACATGCTGGTATTCAATAACTCATTATATCTTGATAATCAGCATGTATAATTTCGATATTGTGGGCACGTGGAAATACTGTGAATAATTCTTCATTATTTAAACTTTTACAGTGCCTTAAGAATATTTAGATTGTTGTATTGGCAGAGGTTAATCATCATAGCACTAAATACTCGCACTTATTAGGCCATTGATTTTCAAACATTAACATTTTTACATGTCAATCTGAAATTGCTGAAAAGCTTCAGCAATCAGTAACAACTCGCGATGCACTGAAATGAAAATGACTGGCTAAAACCAAAAAAGATTAAATCAAGGCCGAAAACTGAACCAAGTAATAAATTAAGCCAAATATTAGCACCACTGCATTCATGGATATGACTGTATACTAATCTTACTAAAATCAATTGTAGAGGATACAAATAGATTGAATAGACACACCGCAGACATGCTGCTTCAAGCATGTGCAGGGGTGCAGTTTCTGTTTGTGTCATCACAACATACTGTTTTGGCCGTGTTGTTTTGGTGGTAAAAGCCAAAAACTGAACACAAGACAACATTGACAGCATTGTTACTGAACAAATCATTTACTATTTGAGGGAGGGGGGAGAGCTAAAATGCTTGCTCAAGAAAATTGCATAAGAATACATAAGAGATTTTAAGAAATCCTTGTAACCTAGAGGGCAGTGAATACAGGACTGTTTCATCTGTTCAAGAGAACCAAATTTTCACTTGGGATGCTTGTGCAAGTTATCATTAATAAAAAAAGATGTTGCTGCAACCTTGAGCAAGCACTTTAGCTCTTTTTCTCCCCCATATAATAAATGATTTGTGCAGTAACATTGCTGTCGATGTTATCTTGTGTTCGGAGGTGGATGTCTGGTGTTTGAGGTTGCAATCTTTGGAGACAGTTCTGACAAGGAATCTGTCCAAATCATTTTAATGACTTTACGCTTTGGTATTCCAAGCACTAATAAAACATTTTAGATGGAATTGCTTGTTTTGTCATATGAAAAATGATCGGATTAATATTTTATGCATTTGTTGACCTTTCCAAAAAGTGTTTTGTATGAAATAACCAAAAATATGTTTACATTTCGCAAACCGCATTGCAGAGTCTGACCACTGATTCACCCAACAAACTGTGCTACAGCTTCTTTGTCTCTTACATCTGATAGTCAAACCATGCCGAGTTGAGGTTACTACAGGGAAAATCAGAGAGCATTTTGATAAACATCATTTATTGGTTAGACATAACTGCTGCTCTGAAAAGAAAATGTACACATTTAAATATAAAGAATATAATAAGCATAAAACCTCAGAGAGCAGTGCACGTTGGACAGTTAATCAAGGATGTACCACTAGATTGAGTCTCACTACAGTTGTTAAACATTATACTTAATTAATCTTGTCTCCATCTAACAACTCTTCAGTCTTTTGAATCTATCAGGTAACGTGTCACAGCATCAGTACACTGCTTCAATCTTTCGCTTACACGCTTGTACTTAGTAATTTTAATGAAAACCTCGGATACTGTTGGTTGGTTCCTGTTGGTTGTGCACCTTTTTTCACCAGCCAAGTTTGTCGACAACACAGATCACTGATTATTTAAGCCAGAGTTCTGCGGAAAAAGTGATTGACAGGTGGTAATTTGTTTAATTTAATTTATTTATGATTTGGTTATGGGTAAAACAAAGACCATGCGGGTCAGGTAGTTGAAACTGTAGGTTACAAATAAATCATTTGTTATTAATTAATTAATTATTCATAAATAATTAATTAATTGCCGCCTATGTTGACAATGCCATCATCCATCGGGATGTTTCACATTAGACATTGTACAATGCAAAATTGGTCGACATCGCAAAACACTATGGGAGAAGAGTATTTAAGAGAATGATTTACTAAGGCTAATAAGGTAGTCAGTTTACTGGGATTTGATCATTATTTAATGCCTCACTAAAAAATGACCTTATTTTGTGTTTTAGTAGATTACACAAACCTCATCATCTTTGGCTCTGCTTATTTGCAACCAAATTGTTCTGTTTATACACTATAACATATCTTACACAAATGAGCTGATGCATCTGCATTCTTTATTGTCAGTAGATCTCATTCCTTTATCCATTTTCCTTTGGCTTAGTTCCTTATTTATCAGGGGTCCCCACAGCACAATGAACCACCAACTATTCTGGCACCTCTTTTACGAAGCAGATGCCCTTCCAGCTGCAGCCCAGCCCAGCTAATTTAATTTATTCAATTCACCTGTGGCGCATGTCTTTGGATTGTGGGGGAAACCGGAACACCTGGAGCAAACCCACATGAACACGGGGAGAACATGTAAACTCCACACAGCAATACCAACTGGCCCAGTTGGGACTCAAACCAGCGACCTTCTTGCTGTAAGGCGAAAGTGCTAACCACTAGGCCACTATAGAACTCTCATTTCTTTAAAATATTTTAAAAGCCTAAATTAGAAGAGTATTTTCGAAACCATAGAATTAAAGCCATAAAACCATGAGAATTCTTCTCGGAAATAATGTAAAATTTCCCAATTCCAGTAAATCACAGAGTACACATGAAGACATTTTAGGGCCATCTAATATTGTTATGGACAATGAGAAGCAGAAAAGGTTGAGATAATCATTTATATATGTCCATTTATGCACTCTATTAATGCTATTTTTTAGTGGATAGTTTAGTACAATAAGGATGAAGAAATAGCTTTAAAATTCAATCTAAATTATTGTTAAAAAAAAAAAAAAAAAAAAAGTATAGCATTCAAACCACATCTATAACCATAACATTGTCATTTTTGTTACAGCTGTGGACTGGACTCATCTGACATTCTTTGTAGAGGAACATACAGTGAAGTTACTTCTTTTCCAACTTCTGAATAACCAAAACACTGACAGGAAATCAAAACAGTATCTACTTTTGAAAAGATGGAGATTGTACTTAGAAAGCGTGCATTCATATTAAACAAAATCTAGTTAGCAGTATAATAATCTTAAAAGCTACGGTTCTTGATGCGAACTGGCCTTTCAGCTCAATTACATGACAATAGCAGGTCATTAGTCCAGCATTAACGTGACGTAAAAATCAAAGGTTTGTTAACTTCACAAACAAAAGGATGGAAAAGCAGATGAAGCTCCCAGTCCTCATTATTTCTTATGCACACACACACACTGGAGCTCTGTAGTGATGACACATTCAGCTCAGGTCCCCAGACACTGCAGGTGTGAGAACAAAGATAGACGAGCCATGTGTGGGTGTGTGTGTGTGTGTGTGTGTGTGTGTCTTCTCCATTCAACAACGTATGTGTGTTTTACAGGTCTACAAAACTGTTTGCCCTCCAGAAAAAGGCCAAAAATAGAAAGTCATCCACTGCATGTTTCCCCAAAATGGCACGACCAATCACATCAATCGCCTTATTTTTTTAACATCCCACCAATAGAAGACAGAATAAAACAAGGAGGATTATTGTCTACCTAAACATCTGCCCCTGAATCTCCCTAAGACAGTAATATCACCTCATTTGAAACAAAATGTCCCTAAATGGCCATTTGGCACGAGTCTGACATTGAGGCAGTTTTATATTTACCACCCTGTAAAAAGTTTCTGGCAGCTGGCAGAGACGGCAGCGGGGAAATAATGGAAGATTTTATTACACCTGTGAGGAGGACATTGACTGATGGTCAGCGGGTGAAGAGAATGATCTCCTTCTAATTAAAATTATCTCTGGGTCACTTTTAAACTCTTTCATCAGAAGAGTCAGGCTCTATGAGAGGGAGCGACTTCCATCAGGATGGACCTCAGTTGACTTCCCAAATGAAAATGGACCACGAGAGATTTAGCTAATCTGTTCAAAGAGTTCTGCTGAACTTGAGTTCTTAATGTCATGGGATTCTGTACGGTCAAAATTTTCGTGAAAGAGGAAAGGCAATAAAAGAAATGCTTGGTGATGTCAACAAAAAAAGGAAAATGATTTCTGTGGAAATTTTGTTGAATTTTTTAAAGAAACTAATATTATTCAGCAAGGATGCATTCAATTGACAAAAAGTGAAATCTATTAATTTGTATACAATTAAAGTCAGAATTATTAGCCCTCCTGTGAATTTGGTTTTCTGTTTAAAATAATTCTCAAATGATGTTTATAACAAAGCAACAAATTTTTCACAGTATGTCTGATAATATTTTTTCTTCTAGAGAAAGTCTTATTTTTTTTTTTATTTCGGCTAGAATAAAATTAATTTTTAACACAAAAAAAAATTTCAAAAAACTTTTTGAGATTCATATTATTAGCCCCCTTAAGCAATATTGCTTTCAGTTGTCTACAGCATTGGTCCTCAACCATCAATTGGTACGGGGCCGCACAACAAATCATTAATTATTTCCATTTTATTTATTAAAAGAGTCTGGACGATCTTTTATTTTGAAAAGTTTTTTATTTTGATAAAATAACGTCTTGTTCACTTGAGCACCCAAATTTAACCCACAAGCATAAAAGCATATAAATAAGTAAGAAACAGATGTCTTTGGAAAAGTTTCTTTGCAAAGGGGAAAAAGCCAAGTGAAGGACCAGCGAGCTGCCAAGGAATGAATGCGCAACACATTTGTAAACAAATCAGGTGAATTCAGTATGGCTGTGCGAGAAGATCAATGAATGGAGATGAATGCAGAATGGAGATGACGTCGGCCTTTTAGGGGCCGTTCGCCTATCACGACTTTTTTAGAGTTTGCACAAGTTTGTTGTTTTCACTGGAGGTGTGCAGCTCGCGCATTTCAGACACAAAAAGTTGAATCAAAGTCCCGTTATGGCAAGTCATTTCACTAGGCGGCCATCTTTAAAACACCTCTCGGGCATTCTGTCTGAATAGGGAAACATCAAATTCTCCAAAACTGCTCGCCAAGCTTAACACCGAATTTCATATTAGGAATCACCAATAAAATTAAGACTAAGATTTCGTTTCTAAACACCCAAATCACACAAAATCTCACGTCTGATCCAAGGCCCTTCCCCAGAGTATTAGCAGTCTATAGCGATCGATGATTAGCTCCTGTTCTAGTAGTCAGGGCTTACAAGTCATTCACCATATTAACCATTCCTCATCGCCCAATTCAAAAACATATGAGCGACAGGTCTCGTGTATTCTATAGTCTTTGAGTTGAATGCACGCCGAGTGACGTGACAAGAATTGACCGATCAGCTTCAGCTTTTGTGGAATATACACATTTTGGTAGACTGATTGTCCCAGACAAACACTGGAGTGTTATGTAATTTTCTCCATAAATAAAACTTGCATTTGAGTTACAGCAATGTTTTGTCAGCTTGTCATTCTTTGAGAAAAGTTTATGGTCGCCTAGCAACCTACAAAACCCCTATCCCCAATAATTTTGACTTCAACTATATATATATATAAAGACAGACAGACAGACAGACAGACAGACAGACAGAGAGAGAGAGAGAGAGAGAGAGAGAGAGAGAGAGAGAGAGAGAGAGAGAGAGAGAGATAGAGAGAGATAGAGAGATAGAGAGATAGATAGATAGATAGATAGATAGATAGATAGATAGATAGATAGATAGATAGATAGATAGATAGATAGATAGATAGATAGATAGATAGATAGATAGATAGATAGATAGATAGATAGATAGATAGATAGATAGATAGATAGATAGATAGATCTTTAAGGCCATTTTGTGTGACATGTCAAAAGGGGAAACACTGCAGTTGACCAGCCATTTCATGTGCTCTTTAGTGGTTATTGTAGTCCGTTTTTCTTAGATTTTACCATGAATTATATGACGGCATTTTCAAAATGTGAAAATAAAGACTTACTTGTGCATGTGCTCAACTCCAGTCAGAATCATAATGCCGTATGTAATGCCACTTTGCAACAGGAAATGAAGAGCATACCTGTGGAAAAAAGACAAAAATAAAGGCTCTATTAAAAAGTGCTTTTGTTTCAGTAAGACTATACAACAACAACAACAACAGGTGTCACTGTACCTTTTGGATCTTATTCTGAAGAAACGCCATACTATTTGAGAAGTAACCACTCAATGAAAATGAATGGGACAAATCAATACTGCTTAATATGTAATATGGAACAATGCAATATTAATAGGATTCAACTTTGCACTTAAATGTCAACGGCCTTTCTGGCACAAGTTAGGCCTGTTTTACTACGTAAATACACTAGAAAAGGGAGAAAAGACATTGCTTTTTGATTTGGCTAAAGACACCAAATGTCCACCTTATTTTTATCCAAGAGCATGCACAGCCACTTGTAAATATAATTTGTCTGGCTATTTATGTCATCCACTTCCAGTCATCTTAATTATTAGCATGATGGTTAGTAGTGCATACTAGGGGTGTAACGATTTATCGTTGTACGATTTATTGCGATGCAAAAATGTCTCGATATGCATCGTGGCGTTATGACGATTTGATTACGATATGACGTCCGTTTTCTCTTATTAGTTGAGCTGTTTGCACGTGAGCTACGTTCCACCTGCTGTCGCACGTGAGTTCAGATTGCAGCAGCAGTAATGTTAGCAGACCAAGATGAGTGGAGTTGAAATAGAGGATGGCTCATCCTCTCAAAATCAGACGTCTGGCAACATTTCGGTTGTACAGTCATTGCTTTAGACTCATCCGCTTTTTGACACGCATACTGGGTCAAACATCCTAAGTTTTAAAGTCTTCACAGTGATTTACATACTTTGCACAGCGACATGGATACCTCCTAATGGTGTTGAAAGAGTCACATACTGTATTTATAAGGTACAATTCACCCTAAAATATCATTCTGTCTTCATATAATGATGTATTGGCGGCCGCAAAATCACACATGACGAGAGCTGTTACTACAAAGGGCGGACTATGATAGACGCGCGCGTATGGCAAGCCGTTTTAGCATTTAAACCTTTGATCTGACTATCCATAAATATATTTAGAGATATCTCTAATTATATTTTGACTAGTCATAATTATAATTCGACTAGTCAAAATATAATTAGAGATATCTCTAAATGAATTTAATTAAATATGAATTAAATATATTTATGGATAGTCAGAACAAAGGTTTAAATGCTAAAACGGCTTGCCATACGCGCGTCTGCTTCAGTGAACAGAACCTGCAGGTTGTGACTAATAAAGTAGTAAACAACATTCAGTTTGTGGAACAGAGTGATCTTTATTTTTATTTGCACCTTTACTTAAATTGTTCCTTAATTTTGTCTCTGTCATTTCAATAATATTTTTTAAGAAGTTTTTAAATTGTTTTATTTTCCAGAGACAGGCCTGTTTAATATATTTTCTAAAAGAAGGTTCAGTTTAACAAGTTGAAACAAAAGAAATACATAAAAAATAGTTTACTTGGTAAAATTTGCATTTCAGTTAAATTTTCAATTTTTATTCCAAATATCGTGATACATATCGAATCGTGAACATTATATCGTGATACACATCGTATCGTGAGCTGAGTGTATCGTTACACCTCTAGTGCATACAGTTTAACAGCTTACTTTGTTCCTCGTCCCATTACTTCCCTAAAGCAACTAATGAATCGGAAGTGTCATACTGTACATTTACAGGAAACTTCTGCATTCAGAAATATGATTGATGATAATAAAACCATTACTTTTTGTCTATTTTGTTTTTTTACATTTGACATGGTGTTCAAACATAACCTTGCCAGTCAGTTTTTGGAGATTTCAGTCTGTCTTCATTCAAGAGGAAATAAGCTAAATCTGTTTGCCTTTTAGCCAGATAAGGAAACTAGAAGAGACTTTACGAAAGCTTATCTACAAATCAGATCCACTTAAACATGCACACATACACCAACAGTGACACTTTAATAAGGCTTTTAAAAGATGCCACTAATTAGCAGCCAAAAGTCTGTCCGTCCTTTATTTTCACGAGTGTGGCCTATTGATCTGTTTGTCTTATTAAAGCGACATGTTAATGAGTTTCAGAATTTAGTCACCACCGACACATCAATACAAGCCCGAGTGTGCTGCTAGTGAATCTCACAACACAGACACTAATGTATCTAAAACTGTGTTAGCATCAGTCAGCCTTTTTCTAATGTTGTTCTATTAATAACACTGATACACCAGCTGTTCTTGTAAAGGTTCAACTTCCCACAAATATACTGGACTCCTGGAGATAAAAAAAAGTAATAAATTCTATTCTGTGCTGGAATTATTATCAATTGTGAATGTAGGTAATTACCTACCTAGACACAGAAAGCAATATTGTTAGATCTACAGCTCTGTCTAACCAATAAATGTTATCATGTTAAATAATCTTATAGAAAACTTTCAAAGAGGAAAAAATAAACATTGTAACGTAAATTGTCAACAAAAACCATACAACTCATTAAAACATACTTTTCAGTCCAAAAATATAACCTATAAGTAAGCACATAAGCATGCAAGCTAGTTATCTAGCTTCTTAGTAAATAAACACAGGAATTTGAATTTTTTGCATATTGAAAAAACAGAATAACTTTTACAATATTGCATCTTTATCCATCCATCCATCCATCCATACATACATATATACATACATACATACATCCATACATCCATACATACATACATACATCCATCCATCCATCCATCCATACATCCATCCATACATACACACATATATATATAGTATAATGGTAATTATAATATTAAGTTAGTAAGTTAGTTAGTTAGTTAGTTAGTTAGTTAGTTAGTTAGTTAGTTAGTTAGTTAGTAAGAGAGTAAGCAAGATAGTAAGTTAGTAAATAAGTTAGTAAGTTAGTTAGTAAGATAGTAAGCAAGTAAGTTAGTAAATAAGTACAATAGTAAGAGACTAAGAAAGATAGTAAGTTAGTAAGTAAGATAGTAAGTTAGTAAGATAGTAAAATAATAGGTTAGTATGTTAATCAGTTAGTAAGTAAGATAGTAAGTCAGTAAGTAAATAAATAAATAAAAACAGGAATGTTTCATTTTTTGCATACTGGAACAACATAATCATATATAGGAATATGTCATTCATTTGGTTCACAAATTCTTCTCTATATTAAAATACACAAATCCTGTCATTGGCCTTGTCCTCAGCCCAATTGAACATAGTATTTAACACTTTTCAGCAAAAAAAAAAAAAAAAAAAATAGTTTAGAAAAAAGACTTCAGAAATAGCAAGTTTAAGTTTATCATTTACATAAAAAAAATGAAATTATAAATAAATTCCACAAATAAATAATATTTTACAATTATCCCCATCTTTTTGTCAGTTCTGTCACATTTGCATTACATTTAACATAAAATGCATGTAATAAGGCTATGACTGAGAAGAAGTGACATCATTTGAAAGAGGAGAAGCTGACAGTGATCAAGGAAGCGTTCTATCATTGAATTGTATGATTTGATGCTTTTTTTGTATGATTTCTTTTTTTTAGGAGACAAGCTTAAAGGTCAGTCCCTGTCACATTTTTATAAATGAAATTGTATGTTTCTGGTAGAATATCCCATATATAGTACAGTCCATAGTATATTGTTAATTCTGTTTAGCATCACGTTTTATGTTACAACAATAAAGTATGAAGTTTTGTATTTTTGTTTTCATTCTTTAAATCCGTTTTATTATTTGCATCTAATGCTGTATTTTTTTCAATGACTATCAGTGTTTTGTGGGTCTCCGATCAAAGTATAATTGTACCCTTTGTCTGGTCACTGTTGCGCTCCACTGAGGGAGTCATACAGGTGTATTTACAACTGCAAATGACCACATAATCTGACACCTGCCAGTGTACTACAGACATCAGCTTCGGCTCACTATAAGCTGTTTGTTTATTTTGTATCAGATGTCTGCCGTTACACAGGCCGCTACATTTCCTATCGATCGGTGTTCGTTTTTATCTTTCTGCAAAGTCACACCAGCACATTTCCTGCAGTCCAGCAGCAGGGAGTACAAGCAAAATCTGGTTTCAATTTCCTTGTGGACGTACAGAGGGGGATGTGTCGGTACAGTATATGTGTCAGTATTAGGCAAAAAAACTCACCAGCCAAAGCAAAATAGGGCAAAGTAGATGCCCAGCAACGTGGCAACCACATGGCGCACAAAAGGACTCGTCTTGCTGGGGTGCAGATACAGTCTGAACCACACAGCCGTGAGCAGGGCGCAGAGCTGACATACTACAAAATTCACCTGAAACAGGAAAAAAAAACAACAACGGATCAGCAAATGAACATAACATCATCACAGACAAATGTGATGTATAAATACACACACAGACACACACACACACACACACATACACACACACACACACACACACACATACACATACATACATGTAATTTATTCCTGTGAACTTTCAGCAGCCACTGTTATAGTCTTTATTGTCACATGGTCCTTAAAAAAATGTATTAATATTACGTAATTAAAATTCTATCAATGTAGCTAACTATCAATCACAAAACCAGAGAAAGTTTGTAAAAGATTTGTAAAAGGGTCTTTTACTTTTTACTTTTACTGCAAAAATGATTAGCACTTTTGCACTCCTATGAAAGTTTTTAGTTCTTTTCCAAATATTTCCCAAATGTTTAACAGAGATTTTTTTTTCTGAAACACATAATAGTTTAAACATAATAGTTTTAATTAGGGCTGCACAATATTTTGTAAAATTATCACTATCGCAATAGTAGTATAAGCAATATTCGCATCGCAGACATGTATGATGAATGACATTTATTTTATTCACTGGTGGTCTAAATTTGACCAATCAGATGGGGCCTTGATATATTTATCTCCACCCCTCCAGTAGTAGCTGTTCTGCTATTGGCTGGAGTAGCCCAAAGATGACCCCAGAAAATAAATACTAATCCCGAGACTAGAGAGGAAAACGACAACAATCAGAGTCAGAATATCTGCGGAGGTTTCTGCTCATTTAAAAAGTTTTAAAAACTAAATGTTTGCACATGTTGACAGTTTTTGTCTACATTGCATTTACTTTGATCTGAAAAAATATATCTTTGATCTGTTTATTTTAATATTATTCAATAAATAATAGATTAAAAATCTATCAATCAATAATAATAATAATAATAAAAATAGCTTTTTTCAAGGGAAATGTTTTAGCATGAGAAATATCGTTATTGCAATGCTCAACATCACATTTTCTGGTCTCACGCAGCCCTATTTTTAATACTGTAACTAATTACCAATCCCTCAACTATTTAGTCTTTGCCATGATGAAGGTACATATTATTTCACAAGATACCAGTATTCAGTTAAAAGTGCCAACTAAAAATCTTGACAAGGCAAGTTAAGATAATTAGACAATTATTAAGGGAGTCAATGATTCAAAAATTAATAATATTATTAATAAGACTTATTAACATAGTTTTTATATCTTTTAAAATAGTTTTGTTATTAAACAATATGTGTGTGTTGTGTGTATCATTTCATTATTATTTCATATTACTGTCGTTAAATTTGAAATTAACTTTTTTTACATCCTTTGTGGTAGGGCTGCACGATATTGGAAAAATTTGACAATTTTTTTTTCTCTGCAAGTTATATTGCGATATGAATACAATTTTATACAATTTTACCAGATGACACAAGTCTATTTGGGAAAGTCATTCATTTAGATAGATGATCAAAGATTTTGTATAGGTCTATATATATATATTTTATATAAATGTATATTTTATATTACTTATTATATACATGCAATAAACAAACTACAGTCACAAATAAACACAATGAAGCAAAGATTATGCGACACCATTTGTGATTTTCTGGGGAGTCTAACTGTATTCAGGTTAATTAATTGATTCATTAAATGTAAAATAACAGTGTATAGGTCTTCATCATTTAAATAATCCAATACAAATAATCTTTATTAGTTACAAGCTGTACAATTTATTGTCCCTGAATGCTTTAAATTATTTAAAAATGCTGACACAGTAACAGGAATCATTAAAAACTTTATAATATACTTTCAGTATGTTGTGGTTTAATTCTGCAGTGAATCCACTAATCTTGTGTGTCTTTAACCTGTAGTTTCTGGTCAACTAATCCCAACTCAACATTGCATATCTTGCGACGTGACTATTTTTGTTTGATGCTGAAACGATGTATTGTGCAGCCCTACTTTGTGAGATATGTTAGGTATAATGCATATGTACAGTTCACTTTATGGTTTAGCTGATCAAAGTTTAACAAAGTTTTGAGAATATGAACATACAGTATATTGCAATGAGTTTTTAAAACTATTATTAGTGCAACAGATTTTACAAATAAAACAATTTCACAATTCACATACAAGCCATTCATCAACATAAAATACATGTTTAAATCTTCACAATTAACTGCTTTTCCATATTTACTCTCTTACTGTGCATTAAAATGTGCTGCTCTAGAGCAACAAAATAAAGTGACAAGCCTTAAAAATATTGTTTTGTCATACTGTGTTTGTATCTCCGCTCACAGTGAACCCCCATTAGTCCAGATCCTGCACCACACAGCTGTACATTCAACATCCAGAACTTTAGCATGGACAGAAAAGCTACAGAATGTCACACTTGAATCATGTCATGTGCCTCAAGATTACACAAATACAATGGAATTTAGAAGAAATAATGAGCAGGATGAACAAAACGGCTAAACGAAAACAAATAAGGACTAACAGTGCCAGGGAACAATGATTCCCCGCTGTTCCAGGAGAACGTCAGAAGGTTTGGCAGGACTTTCTGTGAGGTTCCTGCAGTATTTCAGGACCCAGCAAGCTTTCTGACCTACTTAACAGACAATGCCTTGAGCTTCACACTGACATGCTTCTCATGAACGCCAAACAGACCAACAGCATGAGTCGGAGCTTTTGACTGGACACAGCTGTGAGATTTCAGCTGCAAGTCATCTGAAGCCAGATATAGATCTTCAACCAAATTCAAAAAGTCGAACTGTATGTACCTTTATCCCTATGCTTTACACAAAGAATATGCATCACTAGTTTGTCAGATAGCTCATTTTTTTGGCCTGTGCAGCACTTTAAAAGAGGAAAATAGGTGTCTTGCCAAGCTTCCTGCAGTAAAACAGACAATAGTGGTCATCCTGAAGGTCATTAAAGAGATAGTTCACGCAAAAATAAAACTCACTGTTTATTTACTCGCTCTCATGTGGTTCCAAACCACTGGAAGTTTTTTTTTTTCTGCTGAACCTACAAGAACAAGTAACCACTGACTTTCATAGTAAAAAAATACTAAGGAAGTCAATGGTTACAGGTTTCTTTTGTATAATATCAAGTCAATCCGATAAAAGTTATAATCTGAATTTGCTACTTAACAAAATTGAGCAAGAAGTCCATATTCATCAAAAAAATAATTTTAATAAAACAGTATTTTTTTATATATAAATGCACAATAAATACATAATGAATCCCCAATATACACTCCAATTTAATTTAAAAGTCTGTGTGGTCATGTTCTAATCATAGTTCAAGTCACTGCATCACTGTCCTCATCATCTAAATTTTGCATTCAATGCCTGCAAAAAGTAGCACTTAATAAATCCACCACAACAGGGACACCACATGTTTTTGTGGCATCCGTTGCATCTGTCAGGTGACCCAGTGTGGTTTGTAAACCAGACCAAGGGGATTATGGGAGACTCTTGGCAGCATTCTGTAACTTGTATGCAGCACTAGCAATGTAGTATTGAGCATTGAGTAATTGAATGTTAAGTATTGAGCATATAAAGTTCTAGACATCATTATTAGCCCTCCTGTGAAATTTAAATTCCTTTTCAAATATTTCCCAAGAGTTGTTTAACCCAGCGAAGATATTTTCAACATTTTTAAAAATAAAAATTAGGAATTTCGTCTGTCATAATAACTGTCAACATGAAAGTTATTTTGCAAGATAATTATATTTAACTTAAAGTGCAATTTAGAGACTACATTATTAGGTTAACTGGGCAAGTCACTGGAAAACAGTGGTTTGTTCTGTAGCCAATCAGGAAAAAAAAATCTAAATTTACTATGTTTTTAATTTTGCTACCTCACATTGATATTCTAAATCAGAGGTGCCCAAAGTAGAGCCTGAAGGCCAAAGTTAGCCCATGGTAATCTTTGGTTTGGCCCACCATCCTATCTGAAAAGAGAGGGAAAATTATATGGAATTGAATGTGGCGAATGCCTTTTCAAATCATTTCGAATTTAACGTAACCTTTTGTTTCTTTGATTAATTGAGGAGCTAAAAAAAGCCAACTAAAACTTTTAAAGCGTAAATACTGCCACTTGACAGGGAACAATAAACAAGACATCAGCAAGCAAATCAAGACAAAGGCATGAGCAGCTTGACTCGTGTATTCAGCACTGATTTCCAATGTGTTATAAATGGGATTGTTTATGTTTTTACTATAATAAGGCCATTATAAAATGTTAAAAATGATACTGCATCATTAATTAATATGTTTTATAGCAACGTTTTCTAAATATTAGCAAATAAATTAGGAATTTACCCATAGCAAATTTAATGTAATATGGTTTGGTATATTCAACAGCCCAGAGCCCTTAGCTTGTTTGGTTTTTGGCCCTTAATAAGAAAAAGTTTGGGCAACCCTATTTTAAATGCTTTTTTCAAAGATTTGTTAAAAAAAACTCTAGTGAACAGTACAGAATAATAAATAACAAAACACTGAAGAAAGTACTTTCCCAAACACACTTATTAAACATAAAAACATTTAAATGAGGTTAAAAAAAATAAAAAAAATACTCCACAGACTGTATTTTAAGGCTTGGTTGTGTTTAGAAGATTTAAAGAAGTGAGTGCTCATGCTTAAATTGTTTTTTTTTTTTTTAAATCACGTTATTTGTTCATATATTTTACATTAATTATAAACAGCTACTCAGCCAATATGAAAACAACTGTCATATTTCCTAGTTTATTCAAAAGCCTGCCCATAAGAGGCTCTGATTGTTCAGCTAACATAATGTGCTATGACTAGCAAATTGGCTCCATGTCACCAGGAATTATCTCCGCTATAACATCACAGAGCATCTGGCCATGCCCCTTCGCTGTATGTTCGTAACCTGAAGGGTTCAAGACATCATTAACCCATATGTATTTTTTGTAGTCCTCAAACTTTGTTCGTTGTAGGCTTTGCTAAGCTAACTCTGTAAAGGCCAGTGCCTTTCTTTG